AGTAGGTGGATCAATATGGTTGTGGGTTTTGCTCAAACTATGGTTGCTCATTTTATGTTTTCTTTAAACTGGCTGTTGAGCGAAAAAATGAAAATGAGGGAGATGAGCCCTTGTTATTCTGTGACACCCATTTCAAGAGACCTCTGAACAGTCGTATCATGTTGCGGAATAATTGCAGAATAATCAGAGCTCTGTCAGTACCAAAGATACTCCCCATGGGAGAGAGCTTAAAATGCTGTAACCCCTTGTTCATACACAATGAGTGCAGGCAGAGTTATCTAAATAGTGGTTTATGCTTCCCAGAATTATACAGCTTGTTTAACTGTTTCACCTCCAATTCTGATGCCGTTTAATGCTTCTCTGACTTTGCCCCATCTTAGTTACTGGGCACAAGTTACATTCTACCCCATTGGCAGGATATCCAATTTAGCTGGGAAAAAAAGCTCCAAAGGGTGTTTTATATGGGGTATATCTCTGAGTTCCGGATCAGTGGACCTTGTGACATCTTTCCCTATCGACATCATCCCCATCTCCTTTGCTCTGACTACATTCACCCCTCTATCTTCAGGCCAGAGCTAAAACAGCTTGCATGGGTTTCTCTGCATAATTCACACAGTCTCAAGGCTTTAAACAGGGACCAGGTTAAACCAGGGGTAGGCGATTTTATCCAGAAAGGTCCGTTGGGTATGCAGGTTTTCGCTGCAACACCTTAATTAGATTATTAATGAGAAGTCTAATTGGCTGAAGAGTCCTCACACCTCGGTTGGAACAGCTGACCTAAAGGTTACCCCAAAAACCTGCACACACACCGGCCCTTTGCGGATAAGATTGCCCACCCCTGGGTTAGTCTCGCTCCTAGAAGCACCGCATTTCAATTCTTATAAGCACTCTTACTTTCTCTTGCAAACATACACACGTTTAATACTGTATTTTTTGCTATTTTAACCCTTTATGCTTGTCATCACTTGTTTGAAGACCCATCCCTTGGAAATACAGTATGTCTACTTCCCAGTACTATTCTTGGTGAGGGTCGAGGCGGCACCATGCGGGAAGGCCAGACCAAACCTTTTACTCCATGGCCACAGACTCAGGCTCCTTCTGCGGGATCCCCAGATGTATCCCCAGGACCTTCACTCATTAGGATATTTTCAGACCAGATCCACTGGGAGCTGAGCACATGACATTCTAGTAAGATGCCCGAAATGCCCCAAATGACTCCTCTTGATAAGATCGAGCAGAGGCTCTATTTTAGTGTCCCCCTGGATCCTCAATCACCTCACCCTGTGACAGAGGGCAAATCGGGCAACCCTGCAGAGTAGCTCTTTCTTTTGGTTACTACCCAAAGCTCACGGCTGTAGTTGAAGAGAGAGATGTATAATAAGCAGCCAACTCAGTGCCTCAACTGATGACTTAAATTCTGCTTCACCACAGACCTCCCCAATGTTTGCAAAACTGCAGTCATGGAACTAATCTAGTGGTCAAACCCATGTTCCCTCTTGTTAGTCGCTGACAAGATCCTGAGGTACTTTAACCACAAAAAAACAATGCTTCATTGTTTTTACATTTACAATAAAGATCCATTCTATTCTATTCTAGTCTAGTCTAGCCCTGTTATTCCAGGCTTTCAGATAGGCTACTCAGAAGACACAAACTGTGATCCTTTTATATTTGGGATAGACCCTTCAATCCCCCTTTTTAAAGACAGTAACAACCACCCCTGTTTGCCAGTCCAGGTACTTTACTTCCATGCAACACGGAAGAGGCGTATTAACCATGTCACCCCAACAACATCCAGTGCTCTCAACATCTCTGGGTGGATTTCATCTATGGAGCTAACTTAGCAACTTCAGCTGCTGTAATAGATTCCACCAGAAGTTTCTAACACTGGCTCCTGGTGAGAGAGTATACCCATCAGAGCGAGGCTATTCAAATCATGGTCCTTAAGGTCGGAGCCCTGCTGATTTTCCAGCCTTCCTTTACCTGTGAGCCAGGTGTGACGCCTCTGTGGCCAATCAGATTCAGTGATTATTAAACTAACTGCCTGGGAGGACTGAAAACAAGGCCTGGATTTGGAATCGATTTGGCCCTGCATTAGGGTTCGGGATGTCCTCATGGAGTTCTTTCCACCGTTCAACAATATCTTCCTTCTTCAGGTAAGACTTCTTCCAGGTCTTAGCTCGCCTTCTTGAATCACCAAATAGTTTGCAGAATCATTTCAGGGCTACCTGACAGCCTTTCTCCATGACTTTTCCCAAACGCGTATTTCCACCTCCCTGACTACCTTCACCGCAGCCTTTGTTTCAGCTGTCTCAGGAGACCACCAAGCAAGTAATTGCCTTGAAAGCTTTCTTCCTCAGCCTGACAGCTTTCCTCACCGCAGGTTTCTGGCAAATTTGAGCTGGATTTGGGGTTTTGAATTGATGCAGCCATATCATGGATTCTTGGACTGGATTTAATTCAAATCAGCTTTTAAGTTACAAACCAAAAACGTATGTGGGCTAACTGAGGTAAGTATCAAGTGCATCCCTCTGGGGACTGGCGCAGGTAGGTGTGCTACTCAGCTATGCAAAGCAATAAACATGTCTGGGGTGAAAATGCCTGTAAGTTAAGAAAAAAATGTATTAGCAGAAATGTCTGTATTTATAACATGGGACATTTTATGTCACTGAATAGGAGAACCACACTGGCTATGAGCATGGAGAAGGAAATCGTGAAGGAGCTTGCTCTAGTGTGTAGGACATTACTCTGACATGTCAGCAGACTCACAGTGTGACACCCCGCTGTTTATAGAGTGAAATTAGACACAGAATGATGCATGCCTGCACAGCAGGTAGCCCTTTTGCACTGGTGTGGAACAGGACAAGGAGATCTGCGAGAGAACCATGCAGAGAGATGGCGAAGAAGATCTCCAGAACACAGAAACAATGGGATATAGGCATGGAATGATTATTACATTCTCAACAAAGCGCGCACTGCTGCCTTCCACACCACAACCCTCACTCACTAATTACCATTCAGCTGGTCAGTGCTGCCTGCTGTTCTAGAATGCGTAGCGATTGGTTAAATGAGCAACAAAATATTACTGCCACTCTTCAGAAGCATATAAGTTTCTCTGAGAAAAAAAGAAGGGCTGCGGGCAGAGTCGCTATCTATTTTGGAAGGGAGAGTCTACAAATCTACAGACTTCAACCAACAGAAGAGTAAATAAATGAGGGCGAGGTCTGGAATACAGATGTAGTGTCTGTAGGTGATTGCAGGAAATTGATGCCCCTATGTTGCGACTAATTATTATTATTGTTATTCCACATTCCTGCCATATATTATCGGAGCTGCTGTTAGGGCGGAGCAACCACTGCACTGCACTGGGCCCTGCCACAGTCTCTGCCCCCCCCCCCCCCCCAAAAGGGGAACTTGCCTAGATAATGATCATTCAGTTTGTTTTATGCAGCCACATTTCATCTGAATACATCATCTTAGCTAAATATTAGGGCTGTAACGTTACATGTATTCATCATGTACAGTCCAGCACATCATTTTCCGTTTGGGCTGCATAATGTAACAAATGAATACATTTATTGACACGGGCGGAACCTAAATTCACAAGTAGTTCAACATTATGCTAATTGTGGGTGTGTGTCAGTTATGGCTAAAGGTGCTTAGTCAACGGCGTTTTGGGTACATTTCGGTTTCACCAGCACTGGAAAGAGTAGTTGATAAGACCAAGACTGTCTGTCGGCTCTCTTATACCAAACTTGGATATTTTGCCAAAAACACATGCAAGCATGCTAACTCGTTTGAAACTAGATCATCACAAGGCAGACTCAGATGCATTGCAACTGTTATTAATCGTGTTTGTGTTTGCAATTTCAAATTTCAAAACAAGTACTGTTTTCCCTGTTAAACCCCTACTAAATGTACACTGGAAATATACTTAAGCTAAATTATATCTCGACCCTGTGATCACATAGCCAGGTCTAATGTTACATGCATGGCTATGCTACCGTTTGGCGCTAGCTAGTCAGGAAAGTCCAGGAAGGTCACACTGTAGACTGTCAGGTATTACTCTTCATTATAGTTGCAGCTGTATCATAATGACCAAGCAGTAGCAGGCACAATGGTCTCCATTACCTGGCTTATGTTGGCCTAAGAGGGGCCCCAAATAATTTTATCTGTATAACTGAGACTGGGTATTATTTTCAAAAGTAGAACCTTTTGGTCCGAAAATACAATGTCTACAATTTAAATAAATCATAATAACAAGAAAAGTAAAATCAGACTTGACATTTTGGTGTGCTAAGGAGTCAGTCAAAATGATATTCTCATAAAGACTATGCTAAATTTAGAGCCCTTCTGGAAACGCACCTACTGGAATTAATTCCAGTGCTGATTCTGGTTCAATTTTTGAAATGTTCATGCTTGTCATCAGTGTCGATATACTGCCGAGGACATTAATATGTTACAGCCAGCAGAAATGTATAATGAGCACACATTTAAAAACCACACTGAAGAAAAGCTTGGAATGGAAAACTATCTTTTGTAAACAAGTCCAAAGAGATAAATTGAATGTTTTTTAATATACTGGCATGTGTTTTCTATTCTGAATCCATGTATGAATTTATGGGAATATAAAATGCTACAAAGATGAGTAATATTTTTTATGAGTTTCAGGAGTAAATTTTGGCCTGGGTCTGAGGTCTGGTAATGCTGTGAGAATGATTCACACAGAAAGTTGAGGCGTCCTATTAAATATTATTTTGCTGACTTGTTATTTGATTTCATTTTCTGGAGGCACTAATTTCAGAGTCCAAACCTATTAGTCAGCCCTGTTATACTAAAATGCTGCTTTAGGGCAAACATTTCCCGCATTAATATTGCTTGCTACTGCTGTGATTCAAAGGCTTATCTTAATGTGTTCCACGCGTCCTCATTTAATGTGATTTAAAATAAGTGGCAAAAATGCAGAGATAAAATACAAGCCCAAATTTACATTTAAAGCAGAACCATTTATTAAATACAAGAATATCAAACAAAGGAAAAAGTTCATTAATTACACAAAATTGTTTGCAGTTATCTGAATTCACATACAGTACAGGGATTACTACTGAAGCTCCCTCAGTTAATTCCTATATAAAACTGTTTTGTAGACACAAGCAATTTAAAGGCATTTTTCACAGGAGAATCAGAAGGGATTAAGTGCTTTCACCTCCTGCAACTCCTTGGACTCCATCCACCACCCCACTACTGGACTGACCGTCCATGTTACCCTCAAAGCAGGGCTGTGACAACTGGGAAGATAGAAATAGGCTGAGAGGCCTATCCTAGTGCCAGCTGAAGGAACGCTTGATCATCCTGTAGAAATTGTGGTTGTGCTCCGTAAAGTAAGAACGCAGCTGTTGAAGCACTGTACTGTTCACTGCAGGGTGTGGCCGCCCTTTGGACTCATGGAGACAACGCTCGCGTCCATCGCTACGGATGCAGTAGAACCCCTTGGTCTGGTTAAAGTAGAAGTTGGATGATACTATTCTAGGTGGAAGGCTGAGGAAGCGCTCCACCTTCTGCAGCTCAGGCAATGGATCTTGGATGAGTGTGTCCCCATCTACGATGTGGATCTGTTCCAGGGGGAAGTGGCACAGCCAGTTGTGCATGTGCACGTCGTACAGACTACGCTGGATGGCTTTATAGCGGGTATTGAGGGCCCCGTTGCGCACTAGGATGTTCTCAATGGCCTGTACAGGCTTGTGATTCTCCAAGCGGTTGTAGTAAACCTGGGTGTAATCAGAAATGACACGCTCGATTGGGTCCCGGAGTATGAGCAGCAGTTTTATGGAGCTATTCATGGCACGAATGCGCTCTGGGGCTAGGGCGGATGTGAAATAGCCCGGGGTCTTCTCCACTGTGATCTGGTGTGGCTGTGAAAGAGGCATTAGCCCCTGGTACCACTCTAGGCCTTTGACATAGTTCTGGTCCCAGTCAAAAAAGTGCACCTCAGTGGTGGCAACAGCGACTTGGGGATGGATGTCCAGCATCTCTAGCAAGGCTCGTGTGCCACCTTTGCGGACCCCGATTATGATGCTTTGTGGCAAGCGTTGGGTTGTCCCCAGGGAACCAGTTTGGGTTTCATTGATCACATCTCTGGTCCGCAGGTCCAAATGCTCCCCTGGGGCTTTCGTTCCTTCAGGGAGGCACTCTAGGGGCACTGAGTGCATCTGCAGAACCAGGAGAATCACAGATACCAGCAGGCAAGCCATGGAGAAGGACTGAAAGGGGATTAAAGGCAAGACAAATTCAAGAGCTGATTGGCTGGAGCTTAGAATGTAAACTGGGGCACCAGAGCAGAATCTTCGAGATCAGACCCAATGAGAAGGAAGAAAGCACCCGACATCTTCTGTGGCAATCGTGGGGGAGGAGGAAAAACGGCGGCGGGGCCAAGGAACATCTGCATGAAGACAAAAGAAGAGAAATGAGCCAGCTCTTTTACATATTCTGTTCTGTACCATATGACACCCCATTTTAATGTCCTCTTTCCTCTACAGCATTAGTGGAACAGACACAGAAACGATAATAAGCGGATGCTAGCTAAGCCAGAGAAACTCTGACTGCATCATTACATTGAACGCCGATTCACTGCCACTACTAAAGTCTTGGACACAATTAAATTGTCACAGTACCAATATTAGATTTGTTAGTAATAGTACTTAATAGCAATATAACAATGTAGCACCAAAAGGAAGACAAAGAATGAAATTAGTCATTTAAAGGATCTAGACTGATAAAACCTTTTACAGAATTTGTGGCTTGACTAAACCACGAGGAACGATTACACTTAAATATACAGCAGGCTTTTCTCCTCATACAAAAAAACATAGAGATCTTTTTTGTGGTTTGCATGAAAGACGGAACAAGTGAAAGTGAAATATTAGGGTATATTCCCTACTGCTAGTCTCCAGACCCCCTGTGACCTGGTCCAGGATTTAACTAGCTGCCAATACATGCATTTAAATAGACAGTCATTGGGCTATACTGCTATGAGAAACCGGATTGTTCTCCTACTTCTGCAGCGAGATGTCACACGGGGAATATAAACTTATGCCTCTGCCAGTAAGTCTTTTTTTGGTGATGGGGGGGATGAGATTCTTGGGCCCAATCAACCAGCCTCAGCTGGGCACACAGGGGTGTGAATTGCACATTTAAAATAACCAAACATTCTCTATTCAGCTGAACTTCATTCTGCAAAACAGCTTAACTGCATCCGTGCCTCGGGCAGAAGCAAAGAGCAATATTACACTGATTCTCTGCATGATGCTTACAAGGACTGTGCATTTCCCTTTCAGTAAAAGTGTTGAATCGGGATGAAAAGCATGCACAATCATCAGCAAAGCCTTCAAGGCAACCTTCAAGCATTCAGCCATTCTCCTTTAACAAGTAAAAACAAAACTTTGCAGTGTTATTCAAGATTAAAAATTGTTTGTGAAAAAAATTAATTGATGCTGCTTTCTGGATGGGCAGAAATTAGTTTGATTTGACAAGCATGAAACGGGTCCTTGGTTATTGTGTATTCAAAGGTGATTGACTCTGTATCGCATGTTCGATAATGTAATTTTTTATTATATGATGAATATTATATGGTGCCGGACTCCTGTCCCTGCCATGTGCAGTGTTTCCCCGACTGTGAGGTTTCTTCTGGGAATCCTGGTTTTCTTCTGCTGTCCATACCTGTGTTATGCAGGTATGCAAATTTGAATGTATAAATTGCCCACAGTGTGTGATTGTGCGCCTGCCTAGTGTTGTGCTGAAATCCCATACAGGGTGCACACTGCCTGGCACCTGCTCTAGTCTCCCATGACCCAGGATAAAAGGATCCATGTAACATAGGAATTAAATGATGGAATGACTGAGTTTATTATACTGTGATACTGTGATTGTCTTTGCCAGGCTGGGATTGTGGAACCGCTACCAAAGACAGCCATTTCGGCTCTAGCAAAGTGAATAACAGACCAGGGGAATACTATAGGTCTCTATTATTCAAATCACGGTCCTCGAGGTCCAAGCACTGCTGGTTTTCCAGCCTTCCTTTACCTGTGAGCCAGGTGTGAAGCCTCTGACCAATCAGAATCAGTAATTATTAAACTAACTACCTGGGAGAACTGAAAACAAGGCCTGGATTTCGAATCGAGGTCCAGATTTGAAGAACCCTGCTATAGGCTATAGAGTGGTGGATAGTTCAGGTCCAGAAAATAATCCAGACCAAGGTTTTGTTTCAACCAACCAGTTGAGTACTCACTGTCACTCATTATATTGAACTGGTTGGTTGAGACAAAATCTTGGTCTGGATTTTTATTTTCTGGATCTGAACTATCCACCTCTGAGCCTAGATGTAGTTTCCAGTCTCTCACATTCTCTAAGAGAAAACAGAGAATGTTTATATTGGTAATACTGCTGCTGTGTAGAGGGACTTCACCCCTGCTCTGCCCCAGGAACATCGATGCCCTGCCTTATCTCACAAATTATGATAAATAGAAAAATATTTCTCTCAGTTCTCAGTTGTTGGAAATTATCCCTTAAAACCTGATACCGCAAGTTAAGCTCATTCATACAATATTCAGCAGAATTAAGGCAATAATGACACTATTTATGTATCCAGGCATAGCCAAACTTGCATATATCATACTGGATAGTTGTGTGTTTCTTTGTTCAACGGCCAACATTTTGAATGAGCCGCAAGAATCTATCGAATTGCAAGCTGTGGAATTTCCCACAGGGATTACCTTATTAATTGGTTACATTGTTAATATCAGCATTAAATAACTAAGCAAAGCAGTCATATTAATTAAAGCTGCACTTTTGCAATACAGGTCCTGGATTCACTTTGCAGTGAACTATTTATTTTGTAACATTTTGAATCTCACTATGCCCTTAAGATGACATACAACATCTTCTAAAATAGTATTAATATCCTGTTTTTCATGTACAGTTGTTATAAAGACCTGTATCAGCTTGAAACATCTTTTTCAATTGAAAAACCAAAACCGATATTATTTATTTCCGATTCTGTTCAGTGGTTCCTCAGGTTTATCTTTGTTACTTCCACAGTGACTTTTCCGTCAAGCTTCATTGGAAATCATGTAGACTAGATGGACCTTTTCCATAGCGATAATCTATATTCACTCTCATTATCCATGAGGTTGAGCAAGCAGCAGGTAATAGTCTTGTTGCAAACATGACACCATTTAATTCTAGTGAAAACAGAATAACAGAACATAACAGAATTTAACCGATGATCCCGGTACTGGATAAGCAGTTGGAAGATGGACAGCGAGATGGACAATAAATGCTAGCAGACTTTTCATTTATAATTCTAATTTGTGTTTTCTTGCAGCCATTTCGTACTATTTTGTGTATGAATGTATATATTGTATGCGGACAGTATTTGCAGAAGTACAGAAACATACATACACATTTACATAATACACATTTACATTTCTTTGACAGTGATTTCATTTAATTTCATTTGGAAATGTGATAGAATGTTATAGAAGTGGAAGTGCTTGGGTTAACTTGTGCACATCACAGCTATTTGCACAAAACAGAACTTGCAACCCTATAGCCCAGCAAAAGCTGCTGCAGCATATTATGGGCTGGCAGAGCAGATGTGTGAGAGATCATGTGGGTACTGAAGCCTCTGGAGTCACCACAGGTCTTTATGCTGTGAAAAAGAACGACTGAAATGAACAATGCAGCTCAGTTATGAGTTCTGCAAACTGCGTTCAATTGTATCACATTCTCGCTTTTCCTTTCCTTCACTCTAACCATGTTCGTCCCCATTCTTTCTTTGCTTTTTAATCTATATTTATTGTATGTCCGTGTGTCTCTTGCCATTGCTCCCTTTCCAGCCGTCCATCTGTCTTCCAAATGCATATCAAGTGCAGGGCTGCAAAGGCCCTTGAGTCTTTTCTATCCCTGGCAGCACAGGACACAAAGTTTTTCTGTAAGATAAATATAATCCAATCATTTCCATGTTATTCCACACACACACACACACACACACACACACACACACACACACACAGATACAAGTTCTGCTTAGTATGCTGCGGTTTATATATCCTTCACAACCCATATCTAATTTCTTTAAACCATGAAGAAAGACACAATCCCAGCTTTAAGGGCAAGAGGTGATTTACATTATACACAAAAGGTCATTTGTTCAAACATTAAGGTATAAGGTATTGCTACACACATTTATAAGACACAAAATTTATTCAGATATATTCAAACATAATATATTCATGAATGTGGCATATTACTCTCAGACTCCAGTAAAGAAAATGACCCCAGAGAGTGTCATTGTATGGATTTATTGGTGGCTGGAAGAATGATAATCTGGGGCATATTGGGTAGAGAAATGTAGAATTTTACAGAAGGCATGAAAATAAAACTGGCAGTAAAATGCTAAAGTTATAGTTAAATGGCTACAAAAAAAAAAAAAATCCTGATTAGCCTCAATATTTTTCTCTTCCTTTGCTAAGCAATAGGGCCGGTCTACAAAAAATATAATTAAAACTGGAGTAGGAAATGGGAATAATGAAGGGGAAAAAAAACACTTTAGGCTAATTTAAAATAGACCGTTCATACTGCTGAGCTGTTCAAGGAGATTGGACTGATTTGACCGCACAAAACCTGGGAGGATTCCTTAGCCATGAAACAGATTAGAGGGTACAGCGGCCCCTTCCAGAGAGATGTGGTCCACATCTACAGGTCACTCTGGGCATGTTTTCTGTGTGTCTCTTTGGGAAGTGAAGTGTGCATTTTAGATGGCAATTCTGGGCCCAAAAGATCCTTTGACCTTATGGCGTGTCATTCACGAAAATTCAGCAAAAAATAATAATCCATTTGAATAAATCCTGTCATGATTTTTCATAATGCAGTAAGATGACATCAAACAGGAATTTTGCATATTAAGATTTCCATTCTATTTACATATGCAATAATTACTTTGAACAATATTTATTTTTTAATTTTAAAAAGGAAATTTAAATAATCTTTTAATTACGCAGTTGATGAATTCTTAAACGTATAATTTAGAATGCCTTACATGTTTAGCAGTTGTTTTTGTCTGGGGCAGGTATGGTTAAGGGCGTGTTGCTTAAGGGCCCAGTGGGGAAATTGCTTTGCAATCCATGGCATTCGAACCAGCGGCCTTCCAATCACAGTCACAGATTCCTAACCCGCGGAGCCACACTCCACACACACCATGCAAAAAATGGAAAAGGTGTCTAAATGATTATTTTTAGGATGAATGAGTAATACAATGACCGAATTCACACCCGCGTGTCACCTGAAACATTTATTTTTGCCATCTCTTTTATGAATGCAGACTAATCTGCCATTAACCAGACTGGATGTGAAATGTACACTTAATGCTTATGACAAGGGTCT